TGGAAGTGCAGAGTGGTTTACGCTAAGTGATCTCGGAAAGTTATGCCATTCAAGAGACGAGCGGACCTGAGTCCCGTATTGCAAGCCTTAGGGAACGCCGAAAAATGCGGGAATACTTTTTCGCATGAAAGGTCTTGCAATTAAAACTGGTCAACGAACTGATAAAAGGAACAAAAATCATTCGTCTTCAAAGGAAGTCTTACTTATAACTCGAAATTGCCGTACCGTCAAGTCAGCATTGTTTGGTGATGTGAATAAAGACGAGATTGCTCAGTACAAAACAACGCTCAGTGTAAAATCAAGGAACACCGAAGCCGACCCAATCTTTACTACATTCTTGGAGCGGACGCCTAGTTCAAAGACCACTTAATTCTGTATTCCTTATTAAGGTTTTGTCTTTCAATAACTCATCAGCCATTTCTTTAAAGAGAGCATTTTGCTTTCTACACACTTGTTGATTTAATTGAGGTAGTTAGGATGAGACTGTGGTTGCTGCTCGGTTCATAATTGATTGAGGGTGGAAGCATGCACGGCTACTAACAAACATTCTATTCTTCTGAGCATAAGCATAAAGCTGGTTTCAAAATTAATTGCTTTCTGCAACCAGGATACAAAATATTCATTATCCTCACTGTCAGAGTAGTTGTTGAGTCTAGGACCTTTCCTCAAGTGCGTGTTGTTTCACCTGAAAGCGGCATTAATGAGCGATGCATTCGCGGTGTTTCGGGTGCTGCTTTCCCCAGCTTGCATTATGCACTTTTGGAAGTTATCAATTCAAAGATATTAGATAGTTAATGCCATTGAGAGAAAGTGAACCGAGGCTATCGCATAACTCACTTTGAATACGAACTTGTGTCTTGGGGTTCATCAGTGGTGATTCGGCCATGACGGCAACGAGATGGCGCACAGAGGTGGTCATGGCTGCAGGCGGGGAAGTATCAGGAGCAGAGTGAGAGCTGGTGCCGAGGAGAGTACGGGAGCAAGAGCGGTGACGAAGGAGGGCAGCGAGACGAGCGGGTCCACAGTCACGCGCAGCGAGTTCACAGAGGTGTAGTGCAGCACTTCCATGGCCTCGCCAGTATGCAGTTGGTACTCCTTGTGATGACGCAGTACCTCGCGGCTGGCATGACGAGAGCGCTGGTGCCAGCCTGGACCAAGATTCCCATAACGATGGCAAAGCAACAAGGAGCTTTCTTTTAACCTTAGCGACACCATGGCTTAGAAAATTTTAGGATTAAGATAATGGAGGCAGATGAATCCACTGAATGCAAAACTTTGTGTATTTGTAAAGTTTGGCTCAAGATAAAGAAGAAGTAGAAGAAGAAGAAGGAGAAAAAGCCAAGACTTCATGTAAGATTATTTGACACATAATTTGCGGGTCAAATATCTACCCACTGAAGTTCCAAAGCCTTTTTAATTAGGATAAGAGACAGTGAATGATTTAGTGAAATTGTCTCACTTCGTTAAAAAGGGTACAACGTTTGGGTGATGCAACCATTTTCAAGCCTTCCGCTACTTACTGGCATTTGAGGG